CCCAGATTTCCAATAAGCTTCAGCTTAACTTACTCACTCTCTATGCACACTCTCAATTACATAATGAGATGATTGCCCTATTTAACTCAGATCAAAGAGTAATTGTAACTTCCCCTCCCAAGAAGACAATAAGGCCCACAAAGAAGGGAGGGAACTTATCAGGACACACTTACTGGGTCCAAAATTTTCAGCTTTCAAATTCTCAGCCCACTATCTTTGTCAGAGTGAACTTTTACTGATTTTTATCCTATCTTGGGAAGACAAATTTATTAACTTGATCTTATTTCAACGGGCAAGGCCAACGTAAGTAACAAATTGAAATTTTCTGCCGGGGAAAACAAATTAACTCGCAGTTCCCATATTTTAGCTAAATATGGCCATCCCAAACTTTTTTCCTTTTTTATTTTTTTCCTTCTTCCTCTTTTGGAGTTATGATTACAAGGAACGTTACTGAAACTCACCTCGTTGGCTTCCTTCTCGAACTTTTCGATGGTTCGTTTATCGATTCCACCGCATTTGTAGATCAAATGGCCAGTGGTAGTAGATTTTCCAGAATCTACGTGACCGATGACAACGATGTTGATATGAGTCTTTTCCTTTGCCATTGTTGCGCCTTGGATTTGCTACTTTTAGACGAGATGATCTGAGACAGCAAGAAGTGAGGCATGGCTTTCAACACTTAAGCGCCGAGTAAGCGTTGTATTCAAAGTTAAAATATTATATTATAACCCGATGAGATTCACTTACACAGAAATGAAAGCGAACAGTTTCTTTTGCTTCAAAATCTCCCTTTGAAGCGACACATCACGTGTTGAAGATCGACGATTCGCCATTTTATTTCAACAAAGGATAGCGCCTTCCTAGATTTTTTTCACTGAAACGGCTGTAAACCATACGTTAGGCCAGCCGTTTTTGAAATCGACTTCATAATTTGAAAATTTAAGGCCTTGAACACATCAGAAATGCCGAGGTTACATCGCCATAAACTAGATCGACGAGTGTGCAACGGTAAAGGGTAAAACGCTCAACTCTTTTCTGTTCGAAAGGCTAGAAAAACCTCAAAATGATCGTTTATGACGGAAAAATAACGAATACTGAAACTTTCTCTTTACAAAACAGGCCCTGATGGCTATCATCTAGACGAGATTGAGATGGATAAAATCGAAATAAAATCGTGTCACCAATACATACCTTCGCCTCTCTGAGAACCACGATTAAAGAGGCCGGTATTGGGTAGTAGGAGAGTTTTATTCGAAAAGCTTAGAGGGGGGATGTTACTAATGACGTCATCGCACATGTCATGGAGAATTGTGCAATCATGCTGTCATGCATGGGTCAAAACTATTCTGAAACTTTTGTTGAATTTCCTGGAATTTCCGTCCTTTCAAAGCAAGCAAGAAAGAAAAGAAATAATATATCCAGTGGGCAAACTAGGATCTCTAACATTTTAAGTAAATGAAAATACTGAAGAAGAGAATTTGACACGGATAATTAGGCACTCGACAAAACATCACGAAACACAGCACTGATTAAAGCTATTGTCCTGAAACTGATAAAAATATCCCAAAAGAAATCACAAATCACACTCAGACAATTGGCATCCCCGTGGGAAACAAAGCAAAAAACTAGGGTGTAAAAAGTAACTTAAAGTTTGCCAAATGATTCCAGGAGGCAGATTTCGTAAGACAAAGAACTTCAACGTTTCTGCAATCGGAAATGCTCTGAAATAAGATTAATTCAGGCAAATGACTAAGACCCTCTTTCAAAAAATAAAGAAAAATAAAAAGGAAAGAAATGAGGTAAAATTCAAATGGATGATAAGACATCTGTGCGGAAAAACTCCCAATTCGTAAAACGTGCCAAGGGCATAATCAATCAATAAATAAAAGAATCTAAAAGAAATCCGATTTTAAAGTTTTTACTACATGTGTTGTAAACACCACAAGGGTTGGCACTTATCTCAATATCAGTACAGATTACTAATTAAACAGATGATAACCCCGCCTTCAGTTACAGTTTGCCTGGAGAATAATAGCGACACGGTTAATGACGGCGGAGGCAAGGTATTCATGTAACAAAATTTGCAGTTTAATTAGACTCTAAAGGGAATTACAAATGTTTCTTTTCCCAATGGACTTTCCACGAGTGACAAGCTACAGACAATCGTCAGAAAAAATTGCTCCAACGAAACATGAAGAAAAAAACATTTCAGTAACGCAGAAGCAACGAGACAACAAAAAGAGTAACTCGTAATAAGAGTTGTATTTGTAGCTTCAATCTACAAATGAGCGATCGGGATATCAGCTATGCTTTTCAGTCACATGCTTTTAAATGTTGCATTTGATGTTTGATAGGAACTGATACAAGCTTTCTTCCAAACCCTTTCTTCTTACGCGATCGAAAGACACAGAAACGATACCTGAAAAATGAACTTGGACCAACGGAGAAACTCTCTGTTTTATGCAACCGACACAACACAACCGATACAACACAAGATGCAACCGATACAACACAACAATGAATTTTGCCGAATGGACTAATGAAACAATGGACATCAAACATAGGAACTCCTAATATTATCTACCAACAATAGATGTTGTCCCATTTGGTTATACATGCTCCGCACAACTGGGACTGCATGAATAGAAAGAATCGTGCGCTCTTAAATCAGATAAACCTATTGATAACACTAATGAGCCGCATTGAAAAACGCTTTTCCCAACACCTGACCTATGGCAGAAAATTGGGACAATGCAACAACAGAAAAATAACTACCGGTAGACAACAAATAATTATTTACGAACCCACTACCCCTCGGCAAAAGCTTTAAGTATTCACGTGTCATTGCCTCTTTCATTTTTCACAAAGACTCCCTTGTAAATGTGCGTTGAACGCCAAACGAAGTTTCCTTTTTTTTTTTTCTTTTTTTTTAGATGAAATGTCTGATTTTGATTTGTGCCTGCAATCATTACCTTCCTTGGGCATTTTTCGAAAAGCCCTCCAAGAGGTCCTTGGAGAGGAGAGCGTATGCGTATCACGATTATTATTTACTGCAGTTCGCGGATCAATCAGAATCGAGAGTGAATGTGGCCAACGCGTACAAGAGGGGAAAGAAGGGCCGAACAGGGAATACCAGCGAAGTCAAGAACCCCTTCGCACTACCAACAGAGCGAAGAATGCATACTGGTAAGGCCGTAACATTGGTCAGAATGGAATAACTCTCATTTCTCCTTCAGAGAGAAATAACTCTCCTTTTACACTGGATTTGGTACGGCGCCGTCCCGGGGTATTATTAAATCTTGGCGATCTTAGAGAAAAGTTAAGTGAAAGCTTATGAAAATTAAGCGTTCTATTAAAAGTTGAGAAAATTATCTCATTGTGTGCCTGATTCTTGGTAGAATTTCAACAGCGCGCGCGAGAGTGGCCGGTTACGGAACCCCATAGGGAACACACATCATTTTGTATTTTCCTGCTACTTTCACTGCGACTTTCACTGCGACTTTCATCGCGACTTTTACTGCTACTTTTACTGCGACTTTTACTGTTACTTTTGGCGCTTCTTTTACCGCGACTTTCGGTTCTTGAAAGGTACGAAAGCTATCCTCACCGAATAGACAGGTACAGAGGGCAACTCTGTGACGTGAGGCCGCCCATGCTTGAGCAACGAAAAGACATAACTCACGACAATCCCTTCTACATATGGACGCCAGAGTAACTAATTTCACCCCCAAGCCTCGCTTTCAAAGTAGAGACTGGTGAATTTTATTAAAAACGCATTATCAGAGCACGGAGATAAAAAGAATATCCACGAGAACATAACGAAAAGGTGGTAAAGGCTTGACAGAAATGTAGTGAAAACGATGCTTAGGAGTGGATTTCCAGCATATGACGTATTCATACCTAAAGGTTACTTCGATCTGTGTTACGTAAGTGTTCAGAGGCGTGACTTGGCGAGCCTTGTCAATTGTAGAGGGCGTGTCAAGTCTCTCGTTTTACATTGGCGTTTCTGCCAATTCCCTAAAGGCGGGACAACACTCTTTCTCTCGAGGTCGCGTAGCGCACATATTCTCGGCAATTTCAATTTCCTCCATATCTCCGTATCAATCGGGGTAGAATAATATTCCGGATCTTTCAGCTCCTGAAGAAAGTACAGAATATCTGGCTCTCCGGAAGGACATTCCAGATTGGTAGATGGCCGGATTCTATGAAGGTTCTTCTCCAGCGCCGGCAATTCTGTTGAGCTCAACT